TTTTTTTTTTTTTTTTTTTTCCATTGGTTTTGATGGTTTTTAATTAGACTGGTTTTGAGGTGTTCTAAAACCATTATTTATCAGAAATTTTATGTACTGGTTTTAACTGGCTTAAAAACCCCCTAGAACCAGTATAATGTATTTTTGAAGGATTTATAAAACACCCAAATCAGGGTGTTTTGGTTGATTTTAAAATTTTATTCCACAAATACTTTATCCACGACAAAACTATCCCAATTATATCAAAAAAAAAAAAAAAAATTAACCATATAATGTGCGTTTCTAACTATATTAAATATAAAATAATTTTAAACAATCATAAAAAAAAATTATTAAAATCTCATTTTTAGATGTTTTTTTTGAGAAGTGGAGCTACAATTTTTCAATCATTTAGATGTTGCAAAGAATGATGAAAAAGGATAAGGAAACTTTATCACATTGAAGTTATAAAATATTAATAAATAGAAAACAAATAAAAAATCCTTATCTTATAATTGAAAAAACAAAACTCCTAAGTACTGATTAAATGTGAGGTATTTTTTTGGGCATATACGTAAATTTATCATTTTAAAAAACTGTCAAAACCACTGGAAAATAAACTCCCAAGCACAAGTTGGGTGTTTTGAAAATCATTACTAAAAACACATCAAAACCACTACAGTGGATAACAATGGTTTATCCTTATAACCGCTACCATAAAACTCCCTAGTAGACCCTCGATATTTTTTCTTCTTCTCTCTCTTATCTTCTCTTATTCTCTCCCTCTTATATGTTGCACTTCCCCATCCATTTTTTGGAAGCCCCCGTAGAGCTGGGCATTTGGGACCGAGCCCAAAAGCCCAGCTCCAAAACCCGGTCCTAGGACCGGTCCTTGAGAGGATCGGACCTAGGAGGCCTGGTCCCAAAACGGGACCAAGCCTAAGGAGGAGGGTCCTCCTCCAAGGCTCGGGCCTGGGCCCAAATTTTTTTGTATTTTTTCAATATAGTCCCCTACAAATTACATAAAACCCCCTGTTAATTTTAAAGTAAATATAAATTATGAGGGCTAAAAATTTTTTTACAAAATTGATAAAAAAAAAAATCTTGCAGGTCTAAAAAATTTATAAAATTTACCCCTAAAAAAATACTAAAAAGCCCCTATAAAATTTTATTTTACCCCCAAAATATAAAAAAAAATTAGGAGGGAAAATAAAATTATCCAAGCCCCATGGGACTGGTCCTGGGCCCATGGGACTAGTCTTGACCAGGCCTAAGGCCTGGTTCGGGTCCTGGTTTTTCTCATGGGTCCTAGGCCCATGAGTGACTAGTCCCATTTGGGACCAGTCCCAAACGGGCCCAGGCTTGGGCCCGTAAGGGATCGGTCCCTGCCCACCTCTAAGCCCCCGTCACCAGAAACCTTTCCTTTCCCCACCAATCATCTTTTCGGTTTGCCCTCTCCAAAACCCCCATTTTTCTTGTCATCGTTTGCCCACCTTTCACAGCCGATTGAATCCCTAGGGTTTTTGTTGTTTGTTGAATTGGGATTGATTGATGTTTTTCGGAGTGTCTGATTGGAAATTGATGGTTGGAGATTNAATCTCTCATGAATCAAGACAGGGGATGAGAGAATTTGTAGCAGAAATTGTAAGTATTGGCCGCCTTCGTCATCGGAATTTAGTACAACTCCTGGGCTATTGCCGGCGTAAAGGAGAATTGCTTTTGGTATATGACTACATGCCCAATGGAAGCCTTGACAAGTACCTGTATGACCAACCAGAGGTCAGCCTCAATTGGAGACAAAGATTTCGAATCATCAAAGGCGTTGCTTTGGGCCTATATTACCTACATGAAGAATGGGAACAAATTGTTATTCACAGAGATGTCAAGGCCAGTAATGTCTTGCTTGATGGTGAATTGAATGGAAGGTTGGGGGATTTCGGCCTTGCAAGATTATACGATCATGGAACTGATCCACAAACAACACATGTGGTTGGAACTCTTGGTTATCTTGCTCCAGAGCACACTCGAACGGGGAAGGCAACAAGAAGCACTGACGTATTTGCTTTTGGTGCATTTTTGCTTGAAGTTGCATGTGGCAGAAGGCCAATAGAGCCACGAGCGGAATCGGAGGATGTCGAGATATTGGTTGACTGGGTATTTGGTTTTTGGTGTAGAGGTGAAATTCTTGAGGCAAGGGATCAAAATCTGGGTTCAGATTATGTAGTTGAGGAATTGGAGTTGGTGTTGAAACTTGGGTTGATGTGCTCTCATTCGGAGCCAACAGCAAGGCCAAGCATGAGACAAATTGTGCAGTATTTAGAGAAGGATACCCCTTTGCCGGAGCTATCATCTCTTGGAATTTCAGCGAGTGGCCTAACATTCGCAGATCGTGAAGGTTTCGATGATTTTGCTATGTCATATCCATCTACTATGGGCCTAACAGGATCCTCTTCCATTGCCGATTCACTACTTTCAGGTGGTCGGTGATGCTTTAAAAGATTTATCTTATAATTACATAATTTAATTTATGTATATGATGGATTGATGTCATTTTACTGCACACGTTCTCAGATGTAGCGCTATTGGTGTCTGTAAGAAAAAAATGGTGTATGTTAATAAGAAGAATTTAGGCATCCATGCTATTTTTGTAATCTTACTGAATTTTCATGGAAACTTAACTCCTTGCCATGCCATCTCAAGAAGTAATTAATAATGTGATGTCTGCTTCTTTGAATGCCATTATAGGAACTGTAGCCGCCGCGGTACAGGTAGATGGGCTCCTTTGGATAACATCATAACAGCACGGCTCCTTTGTCAATGTTGTCTGCTGTAAATGACTAAATTCCAGTTGCCCCTGCCACTCCCACGTGATCATTGACTTTAAATTGTATTTTCTATCTTCAAAACAATTCTAAATAATATTGAATGTTATTTTGAATAGAATATATATTTAATGAATTTTATTTAATATGGTACTTGGAAATAGTGTTTTAAAACCCGGTCCGGCCCGGTTGGTTGAACCGGTTCAACTAGGATCCAAGGTTTTCACCAGGTCGGATTACCTGTTTTACTATTTACTAAAAACCCTAAAAATTGGGATGATGATCAGTAAACAATTGAAGGTCGAGATGTTGGGCTTTTGAAAAGAAAGAATCAGTGAGTGCAATTGTGGTAACAAAGTTGATTTGTTGATTTCCAGTGAGTAAATCGACTGGAAATCGAAAAAAAGGTGGCAACAACAATCGACTTTTGTCAGTGATTGGTAAGGCTAACGGGGGTGAGGTGAGGTGGGTTTCGGTCAGGAGGTTGAGGGGAGTATTTCGTGGTGATGGGGAGGGTTGTTGACGCCGAAGTAAATGAGATTTCGCTTGGAATATCGATGTCGGCGTCGGTGAGATCTGGCTGAAATCGAACCTATTTTGGTCAGGTATTGGCTAGATTTTCTGGGGAATGGGCTTAAGGGATGATTGAGATTACATTTGGTGTGTCGACACCGTTAACTAGTCGACCACTGATTTGTATTTGGGGTGTGTTTGCTAAATTTTAAACTTATAAGGACTTAACAAATTTTTAGGAGTATATTTGCTAAATTTAAAATTTTTGTTACTCGGTTTGACTGGTTAACCTGGGACCCGGCTACCTTGCCAGGTTTCACCTAGAATTGGTTTTTAAAACATTGCTTAGAAAAAGTTTTGATGGGCTCAAATAACAACACTTAATTGTAATTTCCATTTGTCATTTGCACTCAGCCCAAATAAGACGGGCCTCTTTCATTTGGTGTGACTTTAGTCTATAGTAAAGCCCATAGAGATCATAAATGAATATGAGAGAACTCTTTAGAGAGGACCGAAGAAGTGAAGATTTGGGGGATTTCAAGGTACAGATATGCATCAATTTCATTACTATTTAAAAAAGAAAATCCCTGTAATATCTCCAGTGTACAAAGCTTGATCTGTCATTAATCTTTCTTTCAAATTATTTTCCTTCATTACAAAGCAAATAACATCTGGTTCCCCGTTTCCTTAATTGTATGGTAAAGTTTATTTGTACGTCATGCATAGACTATTAGTATTGACTACAAAATCAGATGGGATCATTTTGGTACTATGGTTTTCGTTTTATTTAATAATAAGGGTAAAGTTATAAATACGGGATTAAATAAATCTAGTTACATTTAACCCTGTTTATAATTGAAGACAGGATTGTCGATCAAACATCAGAATCGCTTAAAAATCTGAGTACTGCATGTATTCCTTTTCCTTTTGTTTCGGCCGATTTCGCTTAATCAACGCAAACCTGCTCCTAAAATACAAAATGAAGACCATAGTAGCTATTCACGTGTTGATTCCAATCCATCCCCTCCCCTCCAACAGACTTTCATGGTTAACTCGCAATCAACATAGTAATTTCACTTCTCCTTCTTCATGATGTCAGCCGTAAGGTCCCCAATTCCATTGACTCGTGTTAACGCGGGACCGGCCTAACCCGCCACACGGTCTCCGTGTTGGTTCCCTTCTCAATGACAGACCGCCTAACATTTACGTCAACGATATCAAAACATGGAATGCGTCAATCCAACGTTATTCAGGATGTGTTTGGTTGACGGGTGAGACGTGTCTGAACCCTGTAACTCCCTCAGTTGTGAGGTAGTACAACAGAAAGGAATTCTTATATATGCCGCCTTGTGCATCAGAGAAGAGCACAGTGTGAGCAATAGCCTAGCTAGTCATGTTCTTCAAACTCCCAATACTCTTGTCTTTCCTAGTCGTAATTTGTAGCTCAGTAGCGACGGATGATAATTTTGGTTTCATCTACAATGGGTTCCCATCCGCTAACCTGAGCCTCGATGGCATAGCGGAATTCACCAACAATGGAGTTCTGCAGCTTACCAACAAAACCAGATACCAAAACGGACACGCCTTTTACCCTAACCCAATATCCTTCAAGAATTCATCAAATGGCCATGCTTTCTCTTTCTCTACCACTTTTGTTTTCGCTATCCACCCAAAATATTCGGAATTTTCCGGCCATGGTATGGCCTTCGTCATTGCACCCACTCGAGGGCTCCCACTTGCTCTTCCGAATCAGTACCTCGGCCTTTTTAATGAAAGGAACGACGGAAATTTTGGCAATCATGTTTTCGCTGTAGAAATCGATACGCAACTGAATGAAGAGTTTCTTGAAACCAATGATAACCATATAGGGATCGATATTAACGGTTTGAAGTCTGTGAAATCAGCTCCAGCTGGTTATTATGAAAATCAAACCGGTGACTTCAAGAAATTGACACTTACTAGACAGAAAATTCAAGTTTGGGTAGAATACAACGGTGAGGAAAAGCAAATTAAAGTCACTTTAGCTCCATTCAACAGCGGTAAGCCCATTTCCCCACTTATCTCTTTGTCAAGGGATCTTTCTACTATTTTTAACGAAAACATGTTTGTTGGCTTCTCGTCGGCCAACGGTAAGTTGTTAACATCTCATTATGTTTTGGGTTGGAGTTTTAAAATGAATGGTCAAGCGCAAGAACTCCTCCTCTCTAAACTACCTAAGCTTCCCCGAATAGGTCCTAAGAAGCGATCAATGCTTTTGACTATTGGATTGCCTTTAATTTCTGTAAGCTTAATTTTCACTGTAGTCTCAAGTGTTGTATATGTAGTAAGGAGAAAAAAAAAGTTCGCTGAAGTGCTTGAAGATTGGGAGCTTGAATATGGGCCTCAGAGATTCAAATACAAAGATCTTTATATTGCCACCAAAGGGTTTAGAGAAAAGGAGCTACTAGGTACTGGAGGTTTTGGCAGGGTCTACAGAGGTGTCCTACCCAACTCTAAACAAGAGATTGCAGTGAAGAAAATCTCTCATGAATCAAGACAAGGAATTAGAGAATTTATTGCTGAAATTGTCAGTATTGGGCACCTACGTCACCGAAATTTAGTAAAACTCTTGGGGTATTGCCGGCGTAAAGGAGAGCTGATTTTGGTGTACGACTACATGCCTAATGGAAGTCTTGACAAGTACCTCTATGACAATCCAAAGGTTACCCTGAATTGGAGACAAAGATTCCGAGTTATCAAAGGAGTAGCTTTGGGACTGTTATATCTACATGAAGAATGGGAAAAAGTTGTTATTCATAGAGATGTAAAGGCCAGTAATGTTTTGCTTGATAGTGAATTAAATGGAAGGCTTGGAGATTTTGGGCTTGCAAGATTATATGATCATGGAACTAATCCGCAAACAACTCATGTAGTTGGAACTGTTGGCTATCTTGCCCCAGAGCATACACGAACTGGGAAGGCCACAAGAAGCAATGATGTGTTTGCTTTTGGTGCCTTTCTGCTCGAAGTTGCCTGTGGCAGAAGGCCAATAGAGCCACAATCACCGACAGAGGAGACTCTGATTTTGGTTGACTGGGTATTTGGTTTTTGGAATAAAGGTGAAATTATTGAGGCAAGGGATCCCAAAATAGGAACAGATTATGTGGCTGAGGAGCTAGAGTTGGTATTGAAACTTGGGTTGATGTGCTCTCATTCAGAGGCAGCAGGTAGGCCAGGAATGCGCCAAGTTGTTGAGTACTTGGAAAAGGATATTCCTCTTCCGGAGTTATTAACTCTTGGAATTTCATCAAGTGGCATAACATTTGCCTATCGGTATGGTTTTGATGACTTTGTCGACTCATATCCATTATGTATGGGTATAACCGTTTCGACTACAGTTGAAGACTCAGTACTTTCAGATGGCCAATGATACTTTAAATTGTTCGAAATCTCTCTTGTCGCTTTTTATGGTCTCTGGTTTATGTTTATGGTGGGTTACTTTTACGTAATACGCTTGTTTTTATACTATAGAAGTGATAATGAAATAAATCGATTGACACCTTTGAATCGGCTTTGCTGCAAATTCCATTTTCCATTTCAACTTCACCATTCTCTGTATTCACACCTGGCCTCTCTTTTTCTTTCTTTTGTATTCTTCTTTAGTTTGGACGACTAATTGACCATAGATTTCTACATTCACACCATATATATACACGTAAGCAGAGAAACGATTATATGATATCTTCACCGATGATCTAACCATGGTGAATTTTTTTTGTTGGAGTAGATTTTGGATTTGTTGATTAGTTGAAGTGGTTTCTTTAGTGTTAAAGTGTAAGAAGAAAACAGAGGGAAAATACAATACGAATTTGGATTCTGTGTTTTACTAATTGAGACCATCATTTATATAAAGTCAGTTTGAAGGAAATTGCTTTTGAAAAATGATGATTCTTTACCAATTAACGCCAAATGAAGGAGACAGATTTGAACTGATGTTAACTTTTGAGCAGATCAGGTGAGTGAATATTTATCTTCATGAATTACATGGGTGAAATTAACTAGTCGCATCACAAGATAAAGATTGAAGGCGACAGGAATGATTTACCCAAATAATATTATTTGTACTTAATAATATTATTTCTACATATACCACATTCATGGTATCACAAATCTGTGTGTCAAATACATCTTCATCAATGCAACGATATGCAACATGTAAAGCTTGGCTTATGTTCTGTTCATGTCTAATTTTTTTTCTAACTGGGAGGCTTGAAATTAAATTCAGTTGTCCAATTCCAATGTTTGTCAGTGTATGTGGGGACTGGGAAGGCCCACCCTAGTTGAACCAAACTCAACACGAAACCGGACCTACGGTCACCAGATGGCAACGAGAAAACAACTGGCAGGTGATTGGCGCCCTCTTTTCCAAGACTTAACCTATCATTTCTGTTTATACACCAGATTCATCCTCCAAAACATGGATTATCTCCTCTGTGGCTGCGGGCTCAAGAGGGCGAATATGCACCTGCTCTTTCCTTTAAAGTAACAAGCAGTGAGCAATCCCGGAGAATTCATGTGTGAACCCTATTGCCGCTTTTCATTATTATCTTACATATAATTCCCGAGAAGGAGGATCACGAATTAAGGAATTTCCTTGCCATGTTGTTCAAACTTGCGATACTGGTGTCTCTCCTAATCAGCTTAGCAGCAGGGGATGAATATCCTGGTTTCATCTACAATGGGTTCAAATCGGCTAATCTTATCCTCGATGGTATAGCACAGTTCACTGCCGACGGACTTTTACAGCTTACCAATGAAACCAAAATACTAAACGGTCATGCCTTTTACCCTGAACCAATACCTTTCAAGAACTATTCAAATGGCAGAGCCTTTTCTTTCTCTACTACCTTTGTTTTCGGTATCCACCCCGTGTACCCGACTCTTGCCGGCCATGGCATGGCTTTCGTGATTGCACCAACAAGAGGGCTCCCAGGTGCTCGTCCAAGTCAGTACCTGGGACTTTTTAATGAAAGCAACAATGGGAACGCCAGTAATCATGTTTTCGCGGTGGAATTGGATACGGTCCTGAGTGGTGAGTTTTTTGATATCAATGATAACCATGTTGGGATTGATGTTAATGGACTGCACTCTGAGATATCAGCTCCAGCAGGTTATTATGATGATCAAACTGGCGACTTTAAGAACTTGACGCTTATTAGTGATCAAAGAATGCAAGTTTGGGTGGATTATAACGGTGAGGAGAAACAAATTAATGTCAGTTTAGCGCCATTCAAAAGTGGTAAGCCAATTACGCCACTTTTGTCTTTGTCCCGTGATCTTTCCTCTGTTTTTAAAACTACCATGTTCGTTGGCTTCTCATCATCGCCCGGTTCTATGTTAACATCTCATTATGTTTTGGGCTGGAGTTTTAAGATCAATGGCCAAGCGCAGGAATTCCTCCTCTCTCAACTTCCTAAGCTTCCCAGGATCGGTCCTAAGGAGAGATCAATGCTTTTGGCTGTTGGGTTGCCTTTAATTTCTATAAGCTTAATGTTAGCTGCGGTTACGGGAGTCGTTCATTTGATACAAAGGAAAAGAAAGTTCGCTGAAGTGCTTGAAGATTGGGAGCTTGAATACGGGCCTCAGAGATTCAAATACAAAGATCTTTATTTTGCCACCAAAGGGTTTAGAGAGACAGAGCTATTAGGCAGCGGTGGATTTGGAAGGGTCTACAGAGGCGTACTACACAACTCTAAACTAGAGATAGCAGTAAAGAGAATCTCTCATGAATCAAGACAAGGGATGAGAGAATTTGTTGCTGAAATTATCAGTATTGGGCACCTACGTCATCGGAATTTAGTACAACTCTTGGGTTATTGCCGGCGTAAAGGGGAGCTGCTTTTGGTGTATGACTACATGCCTAATGGAAGCCTCGACAGGTACCTCTATGACCAATCAACGGTCACCCTGAATTGGAGACAGAGATTCCAAGTGATCAAAGGGGTGGCATTGGGTCTGTTTTATCTTCATGAAGGATGGGAAAAAGTTGTTATTCACAGAGATGTCAAGGCCAGTAATGTGTTACTTGATGATGAATTTAATGGAAGGTTAGGAGACTTTGGTCTTGCAAGATTATATGACCATGGAACTGATCCACAAACTACACATGTGGTTGGAACTCTTGGTTATCTTGCCCCTGAACACGCTCGAACTGGGAAGGCCACAAGAAGCAGTGATGTGTTTGCTTTTGGTGCATTTTTGCTTGAAGTTGCTTGTGGCAGAAGGCCAATAGAGCGACGAGCGCCCACAGAGGAAATGGTTTTGGTTGACTGGGTATTTGGTTTTTGGAACAAAGGTGCAATTCTTGAAGCAAAAGATCCAAAACTGGGTACAGATTACGCTGAGGAATTGGAGTTGGTGTTGAAACTTGGGTTGCTGTGCTCTCATTCGGAGCCAGCAGCTAGGCCAAGCATGCGACAAGTTGTGCAATATTTGGAGAAGGATTCTCCTTTGCCAGAGTTATCAAAACTCGGAATCTCAACTAGCGGTCTAGCATTTGCTCATCGGAAAGATTTTGATGGTTTTGTCATCACAAATTCATCTTACATAGGTCCAAGAGTCTCAACTTCTATCGCAGATTCAATCCTTTCAGGTGGCAGATGATGCTTAAAAACATTAAATTATTTGAACTTTGAAGCATTTTATTATTTCCAAGTATGCATGACTGCTGTAAATTCCACTATTCACTTCCACACGTCCATTAATTCTGACCTCATAGGCTCTGAATAAGGACTACTTATCTTTGTTGAGATCACCTGTAACACTTCAATTAATTTGGTCGGCAGCCTACTTTTATGAATGATAAATGATGAAATTACAATCTATAACAGGTGTACGGTTTACCCTTAAGTAATAAATACAATCACAAATAGATTAAACAATTTGCATTAAGAATTTAGACCATCAGTAATGTTGAAGTGGAAGCCTGCAAACAGTGTCGTTTTGGGTAAGTAGAACTACATCGTGTCATACATGAGATCAAATGAATCCAGACCGCAGATTAGTCTTTAGATCCAATGGCCTCAAACCAGCCATCAGGTCAACCCTATATAAAATCAGCTGCTTTATTCGAAATAGAGAGAGACACTGTAATCTTCGATATCCTATTGAGAGTTAGGTTTTGTAAAGGGATTTTACTCAAGTTTGTGTAATCAGTAAGGTTAGAGTGGTTAGAGGTTTAATCATTCTGGTGTGGGTGTTGTTCTCACAGATTAGAGTTTCCAGGTGAGTTACTCTAAGGGCTGATTACGGGATATATTGTATCTGGGTGGGTGTTTCTGTGTTGTCTTGGATTTGCTGTGTTGTAATTGTGATTCTTGAGATAATAGTGAGTGCAGCGAGCTCATCTCTTTCCTGAGCTCAAAGCGGATGTAGCTTATCCTATAAGGATAAGTGAACCACGGTAAATCATTGTGTTCTTGATTTGATTGTGTGCGTGTGTTTGATATATTGTAGAATCTTTAGTTTGCATAACAGTGGTATCAGAGCCACCTTTGGAGTCTAGATTAGACGATTAAAGTCTCGGTGTCCCGATAGAAGACGATTCTTGAAAACTAGGGTTTTGGGAAATTTGGGGATTTTCTAAAATTTAGTTCTTTGAGTCTTCCAATAGATCTAAGGTTTCGGGATTTGAGTGAAATTGTCAATCTTGAAAGATCTTGGGAAAAATCTAGGGTTCCAAAAGTCGCATAAAGGTTAGGGCAAAAACACTTAGGGTTTACAATTTGGGGCTTTCTAAAATTAACCCTCAAATGACCACTGCAACCACCCCACGGTTGGAGATCAATCAATACGATGGACAGATTGATTTTGGAAGCTAGAAGAAGAAGATGAAAGCCCTCCTTTCACACAACAAGGTCGCAATCGCACTGGAAAATGACCACAAGAAGTGGCCAGAGGACAAATTAAGGAAGAAGGAAGAGATTGACAAAGAGGCCTACAACCTAATCGTGATGAACCTCTCGGAGAGTGTGCTTCGAAAGGTAGATGGATTCAAAACTCCTCTTGGACTATGGGGTAAGCTAGAATCATTTTATGCTTTACAGTCTGCACCGAATCTTGCTTTTTTAAAGGGAGCTTTATTTTCGTATAAAATGGATAATTCAAAATCAATTGAGGAAAATTTGGATGAGTTTTTAAAAATGACTCTGATCTTGAAAGGCACAGACCAAGAGTTAGGAGAAACCAGCCTTGCCATGATACTATTAAACTCACTAACGAAAGACTATCAAGTAGTCAAAAATGCCCTACAGTACTCGGGTACTGTACCTAGTGTAGATCTGATTATTGTTGGTCTTAAGGTTAGGGAGTTAGAGCTTAAAACCCTGAAGAGAAATAATAGTACACTGTTTGTAAAGGGTAGACTAGAAACTGGCCAATCGAGTAAAGAAAACCAGTATAGTCAGGGGGGTAAGAATAAGAAGAAATGGAAAGGAAACAGTAAGGCTAAGACTGAAACTAGGAAGTGTTTTTATTGTAATAAAACAGGTCATTTAAAGAAAAACTGTTTTGACTGGAAGAAGAAACAGAAATTAGGAAACACTGAGAATAATTTGGCTACCACAAATAACCTAATAGATGAACCAGAAGTCCTTACAGTGTCAACTCTGACACGACTAAGGAATGAGTGCTAGATTCTGGCTGCATTTTCCATATGAGCCTAAATAGGAGTTGGTTTCAAGACTTTGAAACTTCTGATCATGAGACAGTATTCATGGGAAACAACCAAGCCTGTAGGGTTAAGGGAATGGGCAGCATAACCCTTAGGTTAAGTGGGGGAAAACTGATTAGACTAACCAAAGTGAGGTACATCCCTGATCTTAAGAGAAACCTAATATCCCCAGGTACTCTTGATGAAGCAAGATGCTACTATAGGGTTGACAATAGGTGGTTAAATGTCTATAAAAATGAAAAGCTGGTCTTAACATGAGAAAAGAAAAATGGCCTCTATATTCTCTGTGGAAGCTTCTATTCTGAATGTAATAATACTGCACTTGTTTCTTCAAATTTATCTGTGACTAAAAAGTGGCATTTGAGGATGGGTCATATGAGTCAAAGGGGATGGATGCTCTAAATAGACAAGGGCAATTTGGGAAAGACACAGTCACTAGCTTAGAGTTTTGTGAGAACTGTGTCCTAGGTAAACAGCATAGAAACAACTTCCCTAAAGGAACTCACTTAGCCACTAATTGCCTTGATTACCTACATTCTAACTTATGGGGACCTGAAAGAGTGAAAACACATGGAGGAAACAATTATTTCCTCTCTATTATAGATGATTACAGTATGAAAGTATGAGTCTACTTACTAAAGTCAAAGGATCAAGCTTTAGCTAGGTTTAAAGATTGGAAGGTGCTAGTTGAAAACCAGGTTGGTAGAAGGATTACGGCTTTGAGAACTGACAATGGGCTTGAGTTTTGTAACCTGGAGTTTGACAGATTTTGTAGTGAATAGGGGGTCTTGAGGCATAGAACAGTGAGAAACACACCTTAGTAAAATAGGGTAGCTGAGAGAATGAATAGGACACTGTTAGACAATGTTAGGTGCTCTCTGATAACTTCAAACCTTCCAAAAACCTTCTAGGGAGAGGCCCTCACTATAGCAGCTTACCTAGTAAATAAGAGTCCTTCCACAGCCATAGGATTAGTTTGTCCTAAAGAAAGGTGGTCTGGGAGAAAACTAGAGTTAGGCCACCTCAGAGTGTTTGGATGTACAACCTATGCTCATACACAAAGAGGCAAACTAGAACCTATATCTACTAAGTGTGTGTTCCTAGGATACCAAGAGGGCACAAAAGGGTACAGGCTATAGGACAGAGAGTCTCCAGGGTTCGAATCATTGTGAGTGGGGATGTAGTGTTCAATGAGGGAGCCTTCCCTTGCAAAAAGACTAACCTTGATGCGGGCATATCCAAGAATACAGAAACTGAAACTGTTCAACCTAATGCTACTCAAATTGAGGTGGAGCCTATAGCCTAGCAACTTGATCCACCTCAAGTGCAAACACAAAAACAACCTGGAGGGGAATTAGAACCTGGTGTAACTGATCAAGTTGTAGATGATGAAGCTGAAGAGTTCCTAGAACCATAACATGATGAACTGATGAACTATCAGTTGGCCAGAGACAGAACAAGGAGAGAGGTAAGACCACCTTTAAGATATTCATATGCTGAATTGATTTATATTGCTCTTCTTGCAGGTACAGAAGTTCTAAGGTCTGAACCTGAGACTTACCGAGAGGCTATGGAGTCCAGAGATAGTGACAAATGGAGAGAAGCCATGGAGGAGGAAATGCAATCCTTAAAGGTAAATGACACATGGTCTCTGGTTCCAAAACCAAAAGACCAGAAGCTAACTCAATGTAAGTGGCTCTTTAAACTAAAAGATGGTATTTCTATAGCTGATCCCCCTAGGTATAAAGCTAGACTTGTTGCAAAGAGGTATACCCAAAGGGAGGGTATAGACTTCAATGAAGTCTTCTCCCCTGTGGTTAAATACAAAACAATCAGAATGATGTTGTCAATTGTAGCTCACCATGACCTGGAACTTGAGCAGTTGGATGTCACCATTGCCTTTCTACATGGAAACCTAGAGGAACAAATTTATATGAGCCAGCCAATGGGTTTTGTTGACCCTAAGGCCCTAGACCATGCATGTCTCCTTAAAAAGTAATTATATGGCTTAAAACGGTCTCCTAGGCAGTGGTACAAGAGGTTTGACACATTCATAGTGAGTATAGGGTTTACTAGAAGCCAATATGATAGTTGCTTCTACTTTAAAATGAATAATGACATGCCAATTTACTTACTCCTATACGTTGATGATATGTTGTTGATTAGTAAGTCTAAGTCCCAAATTAGTGATTTAAAGAAGAAACTAAATTCTGAGTTTAGTATGAAAAACCTAGGGTGTGCCAAGAAAATTCTAGGCATGGAGATAATTAGGGATAGAAGAAAATGTGAACTAAGGTTGCAACAACAGTCATACTTACTGAAGCTAGTCACAAAGTTTGGCATGGCAGGTGCCAAACTAGTCTCAATGCCCCTGGCAAGTCAATTTTTACTCAGTATATCCTAATGCCCCAAAATTGAGGCAGATGTGTTAAAAATGGAGTCTGTCCCGTATGCTAATGTTATGGGGTCCTTGATGTATGCAATGATAGGTACTAGGTCTGATTTAGCATTTGTCATTTCTTTGTTAAGTAGGTATATGTCTAACCCTGGTATGGAGCATTGGACAACTTTGAAATGGATGTTAAAATACATAAATAGTTCTTTGTGTGTTGGTCTTGAATATTGTAAAAGGAATTCTGCACTTGATCTGGTTGGGTTTGTAGATGCTGATTTTGCAGGGGACAAAGGTACCAGAAAATCAACTACAACCTACTTCTTCACATTGGGTGGAAACTGTATAAGTTGGAAGTCTCAACTGCAACCAATAGTGGCCCTTTCCTCAAATGAATTTGAGTATATTGCAGTGACTGATACGTTTAAGGAAGCACTGTGGCTAAAGGGAATTCTGACAGAAGCCAACTTAATTAGTGGGAAGGTGATAATTTACTCAGATAGTCAGAGTGCAATAATACACCGCAGTAAGAATCCAGTGTACCATGAAAGAACTAAACATGTGGATGTCTGCTACCATTTTGTGAGAGATATAATTACTAAAGGGGTTATTGAGCTAAGGAAGGTTGCTACAGAGGAGAACCCAGCAGACATGGGCACCAAGATAGTCACTCCAGCAAAATTCAAGCATTGCTTGAATTTGCTGTTTGTAAAATAATCTGGAGTGACAAGAGCAATGAGGGAATGGGACTGAGCAAGTTGCACAAAGAAACTGTTTTCTAGTGCTTCCAAGGTGGAGATTGTTGAAGTGGAAGCCTGAAAACAGTGTCGTTTTTGGTAAGTAGAACGACGTCATTTCATACATGAGATCAAATGAATCCAGATCGCAGATTAGTCTTCAGATCCAACGGCCTCAAACCAGCCATCAGGTCAACCCTATATAAACTCAGTTGCTTTATTCGAAATAGAGAAAGACACTGTAATCTTCGATATCCTATTGAGAGTTAGGTTTTGTAAAGGGTTTTTACTTAAGTTTGTGTAATCAGTAAGGTTAGAGTGGTTAGAGGTTTAATCATTCTGGTGTGGGTGTTGTTCTCACAGATTAGAGTTTCCAAGTGAGTTACTCTAAGGGCTGATTACGGGATATATTGTATCTGGGTGGGTGTTTCTGTGTTGTCTTGGATTTGCTGTGTTGTAATCGTGATTCTTGAGATAATAGTGACTGCAACGAGCTCATCTCTTTCTTGAGCTCAACGTGGATATAGCTTATCCTATAAGGATAAGTGAACCACGGTAAATCACCGTGTTCTTGATTTGATTGTGTGGGTATGTTTGATATATTGTAGAAACCTTTAGTTTGCATAACAAGTAACTTTCATCCATAAACAGTGGACATCACAGTAGGAAAACACAAACACGCGGTTGATCCCTGTTGTGTTCTACCGTGTACCGCCTCGAGATTAAATTCACCTAATAGCGACGTAACTCCTGTTGACCCATTTCAACGCGAGACCGGCAAGTTGGTTTCCATGTACGTTATTCATGTGTTTGGTTGACGGCCAAGACTCTAATACGTGAGAGAAGCATAGGGTAAACAGAATTTTAGCCATGTTTTCCGAACTTGCTATACTGGTGTCTCTTCTTCTGACAAGTAGCTTTGGAGCCACAGATGATAATTTTGGTTTTATCTACAATGGATTCCAATCAGCTAAGCCAATACTCGATGTCGATGGTATAGCCAACTTCACCGCCAATGGTCTTTTGCAGCTTACCAACGAAACCCCTGTAGAAAAGGGTCACGCCTTCTACTCTCATCCGATTTCCTTCAAGAACTCATCAAATGGCACCGCTTTCTCTTTCTCTACAACTTTTGTTTTCGCTATCCACCCTAGAATTGAGGGTCATAGCGGCCATGGTTTGGCTTTCGTCATTGCACCAACAATTGGTCTCCCACATGCTTTTCCGAGTCAGTACCTCGGCCTTTTTGACGAGAGCAACAACGGAAAAGCCAGCAATCATGTGTTCGCTGTAGAACTCGATTCGATTGAGAATAAGGAGTTTAATGACATCAATGATAACCATGTAGGAATTGATATTAATGGATTGAAGTCTGAAATATCAAATTCAGCAGGTTATCATGACAATGAAACTGGTCTCTTTACGAGCTTGTTGCTTGCTGGTGGTCAAAGAATGCAGGTTTGGGTGGAATATAATGGTGAGAAGCAAATTAATGTTACTTTAGCTCCATTCAACAGTGGTAAGCCCAGTAATCCACTTCTTAATTTGTCGATTGATCTTTCACCAATTTTTAACAAAATCATGTTTGTTGCTTCTCATCGTCCACTGGTTCGTTGTTAGTATCTCATTATGTTTTGGGTTGGAGTTTTAAAATGAATGGACAAGCAGAGAAACTTGCACTCTCTCAGCTTCCCCGAATTGGTCCCAAACTGAAATTAAAGTTTATGACAATTGGGCTCCCTGTAATTTTTGTAAGCTTGACTTTAGCTGCAGTGTCAGGTGTGGTTTATGTGATAAGAAGGAACAGAAAGTTCGCTGAAGTGCTTGAAGATTGGGAGCTTGAATATGGGCCTCATAGATTCAAATACAAAGATCTTTATTTCGCCACCAAAGGATTTACAGAAACAGAGCTATTAGGTAGTGGTGGATTTGGCAGGGTGTACAGAGGTGTACTACCCAACTGTAAACTAGAAATTGCCGTGAAGAGAGTCTCTCATGAATCAAGACAAGGAATGAGAGAATTTGTGGCTGAAATTGTTAGTATTGGTCACATGCGTCGCCGGAATTTAGTACCACTCTTGGGTTATTGCCGGCGTAAAGGAGAGCTGCTTTTGGTGTATGACTACATGCCTAATGGAAGCCTGGACAAGTACATCTATGACCAAACAAATGTCACACTGAATTGGAGACAACGATTTAGTGTCATCAAGGGGGTAGCTTTAGGCTTATTGTATCTACATGAAGAATGGGAACTAGTTGTCATTCACAAAGATGTGAAGGCCAGTAACGTTTTGCTTGATGGTGAATTCAATGGAAGACTAGGTGATTTTGGGCTGCAGATTGTATGACCACGGAACTGATCCACAAACAACTCATGTGGTTGGTACTGTTGGCTACCTCGCCCCAGAGCACGCTCGAACAGGGAAGGCCACTAGAAGTACTGATGTATTTGCTTTTGGTGCCTTTCTGCTCGAAGTTGCCTGTGGCAGAAGGCCAATAGAGCCACAATCGCCGACAGATGAAACTGAGATTTTGGTTGAATGGGTTTTTGGTTTTTGGAGTGAAGGTAAAATTATTGAGGCAAGGGATCAGAAATTGGGAACAGATTATGTCGCCGAGGAGCTAGAGTTAGTGTTGAAACTTGGGTTGATGTGCTCTCATTCAGAGCCCCCAGCTAGGCCAAGCATGCGACAAGTTGTGCAGTACTTGGAGAAGGATGCTCCTTCGCCAGAGTTATCAGCTCTAGAAATTTCAGACAGTGGCCTAAGATTTGCGCATTCGGAAGGTTTTGATGACTTTGTAGGCTCGTTTCCATCTTTAATGGGCATAACACCATCGACTTCTATTGCAGATTCAATACTTTCAGGTGGCAGATAAGGTTGCATCGTCAAATTATTGGAGATATAATGATTTTTTGCTGTAATATTCTTTGTAATATATTCTCAGTTGTAGCTGTGCTGGTGTAATATAAATAATAATAATATTGTAGCATGCATGCATGAATTAATAATCGGAAATTGTCATTCAAATGGGTACATAGCCAAGCAATAATGTATTTAAATGAGGCAGATTTAACTATTTTGAAGATAAAAAAATAATTGAACAAAAATTCTGGCTACTTGCTAGTTACCCTTAATTGGATACACTCTGAACATATTGTAAATTTAGTTTCAAGAGTATTATCATATTTGGTCATTAAGAATTATTTTACAATATGGGTTTAATAGGATTATTCGATTAAATATGATGGATTGCAAATTGGAAAATAAAAAGGGTCACAAAAGAAAATTGGAGACAACGATTTAGTGTCATCAAGGGGGTAGCTTTAGGCTTATTGTATCTACATGAGGAATGGGAACAAGTTGTCATTCACAGAGATGTGAAGGCCAGTAACGTGTTGCTTGATGGTGAATTGAATGGAAGACTAGGTGATTTTGGCCTTTCAAGATTATATGATCACGGTAGTGATCCACAAACAACTTGTGTAGTTGGAACTTTTGGATATCTTGCCCCAGAGGACACTCGTACTGGGGGAAGGCCACAAAAAGCAGTGATGTGTTCGCTTTTGGTGCCTTTTTGCTTGAAGTTGCCTGTGGGAGAAGGCCAATTGAATCACGAGCGGCAACAGAAGATTGCATGATTTTGGTTGATTGGGTATTTGGTTTCTGGAGTAGAGGTGAAATTCTCGAGGCAAGAGATATTAAATTGGGTACAGATTATGTAGCTGAAGAATTGGAGTTGGTATTGAAACTTGGGTTGGTATGCTCTCATTCCGAGCCAATAGCTAGGCCGAACATGCGTCAAGTTGTGCTGTATTTAGATAAGGATGCTAGTTTGCCAGAGTTATCATTATCAGCCCTTGGAATTTCAGATAGTGGCCTAAATTTTGATCATTGGGAAGGTTTCGATGGTCTTGCGGTCTCATATCCATCTTCTATGGGCTTAACAGTGTCGACTTCTGTTACAGATTCAATATTTCAGGTGGCAGATGATCCTTTTTTTATTAACCCAATTTGGCCATATATTGTATTCTAGTTTGATCCTTGGGGTGCGTTTAGTCCAGGAAATATTGGATTACTGGAATCTTATATTACCTTGAAGATTACTGAGAATCTTTAGGAAAATGTGTTCGGCTTGTTGGTGGGTGTGTTATATTAATATGTTTGGTTAGGGGGAATAAATTGGTAGGTATGTTATTTAAATTACTAAATTGCCATCTCTTTAAATAATATAAATTATTTTTATTATTAATTTTTGAATAATTTTTTTAACCCCCAATATTTCAGATTTAGCTAAAACACACCCGCATGTAAACCTTTAATTTATGACAAAATCACCCCTAACCCCTGTTGCCACTGCAAACCATCGTCGAAAGTCTCTGAAAGTCGCCGTGAGTAGCTCACCGTGACCACGAGGTTCGATATGACCGTTTCTGGCTATATTGATGGTCGAAAACGGCCATATTAGGCCAGATCTTGCCGGAAATGTCCAGATCTATTATGGCAATTTCCGGCCAGATCCTTGGCCATTATCAGCCAGATCTATTCCAGGCAGAATAGATCTGGCTAATAATGGCCAGGGATCTGGCCGTTAAGCCTAATATGGCCATTTTTTGCCATAAATATGGCCGAAAACGGCTAGATCTAGCCTGATATGGCCATTTTCGACCATAAATATGGTCGAAAACAACCATATCGAAGCCTCCCGGAGCCTCCTAGTGAATCTCGATCATTTTTAGGAACTTCAACGACTTTCCGACGGTGGTCCGTGGTGGTTGGCCCGCTGTCTGCGGTGGTGGTCTGTAATTTGTTTTAAATATAAAGACATTGTTATCTAAAAACTTAATTAAATAAGGGTAAAATTGAAATGGTATATTAATGTAAATTTATTTTAAAATAGGGGCATTATTGTCCAATTTTTTTATTAATAAGGGATAAAATTGTAACAAAAATAAGATTATCAAGGTAATCTTACAATACCTAAGAAAATAGAGGTAATCAGATTACCTCTAATATTACCAACAGTAGCAACTATTGGTAATGAAAGATTACTGGAATCTTATATTACTTGACAATCAAACATGGTAATCAAGTAATATAAGATGATATAACTCTAGTAATCTTCCATTACCTCCAACCAAATGCCCCTTTAGTTTTATTCCTTATTTCCTGTTGATCCTTAATTTTATTATTTAATTTAATTAATTTGACACAAGTGAATTTGTTATATGTATATATATAGAGACACACACACACACACACACACACACACATATATAGATGTATATATATACATATATATATATATCTATATATATGTATACATATATAAAAAATGTAATATTCTTTCTAGCTAGTAGTTCTTTGGAAAAATATAAGTAAAACTTACTAAACATATTATAGAAAATATATATATAAGTATGAAATAGAGGGCCCATAACTAATTTTTCTTTATATACAAATCTCTACATCAAGTAATAAGTCGCAAAAATAACTCAAAAATACAGTCAGACGGTGTTGCCTTTCTCCTCCGCTACTTAACGTTCCATCCGACCGCATCTCATCTACTACCTGCAAAAACAGTAAAATCAACGGAGTGAGCACTAATTGCTTAGTAAGTAAACCCACAATACTTCTATTCTTTCTCCGTTACTCAGATCCTATATTTTCCTTCCTTACACCAAACTTCTCAATTCTTCTATGCTCTTTCTAAAATTCTAGTTTCTCACTTACCGATATGTAAGCACAAATAGGGAAACTAACTCGGGATAGTAGAAATGGCATGATGCATATGCACAAATGCATAAACTTTTTCTATACAATACATTTTCTTTTCTGTTTTTCTGTTTTCTTATTCTGTTTTCTATTTCTCATTTGTTTTCTGTTTCTTTTTTGTTTTTTTGCATTTCTTTCTTTTTCCGTTTCTCTTCTTCTGTTTCAATTCTCTTCTTTCTTTTCTGTTTCTCTTATTTTCTATTCTTTCTTTCTTTTCTTTTCTATTCTTTCTTTGCCGATCAGACTCGATTGAGGCATGGATTCGGAACCCTGACCGTGTGAGTGTATTCTCAAATTCTTTCTTGGGTACAATCCTCATTCACATGCACTTCTTATGGACTGTACAAATTCTTTTTTCTTATTCTTAGGCCGCTCACTAAAGGAGGCGTGCATATAGGGATATTCTTCTTCTCTGTCACTCACGAGTTCCCCATCGCAACAACCTTCTCTTCCCTTATCTTTTTATATTTCTTTAAATAAAATTTCAGATTTGAGGAATTATTTAATTATGTCCTTTAGATAATGATTCTAGAATTAATTTCTTTTCTTTTCTTTCTCTTTATTCTTTAATGTTCTCATACATGTATATGTGCATGTAAATATGTTCATTCTTTGCTATTCTTTCTAAATGCAAATGTAAGAATGTAAGAATGCATTATGGCATATAAAGATATCATTATAGAACTAGTATTCTCTACCAACAACACTTCCATAACAAAGTAATAATCTAACATACTCATATATATGCACTTTCTTTGACATTTCATCAAACACCTTACATGCACATACAAACCCTAAATTGGTTACACTTTCACATATTTCTCAAGCCACCAAAATTGGAGCAAAAACTCCCTAAGGCCAACAACCACCCTAGCCGAATTTCATCCTCCACCATTCCACATCTATTCTTTCACATTTCATCCAAAATCCCATCAACTCAACACATACAAATACATCACTTTTCATGGCCATAAGATTCACAAATCAAACAACCTCAATTTCAATCCATAATTCTCATCATCCAAACACACATAATTCCCTTTACCTCAACATACAACAAATTGATGAGATTTACTTACCTTGAATTTGAGCAATTCCAACACTATAATCTCTCTTTGATAGAATTCCCCTTACCTCTTAAACCTTAAGCATATAAAACCATAAGAATTCAAACTTTAAAATTTACATCTCACATCTTGGTGCAAGAATCTTACCTTTGGATACTTATGATTGAAAATCTATCAAAATCTACCCAAAATCCTATATATGAATTTCCTAGGAATTAGTGGAAGAAAAATTGAGAGAATTTGGGATGAAGGTGGCGTGAATAATGGGTGGAGTGGCTAGGGTTTCAATCCTTGAACTCTTATTACTACATAATAATATATATAGTTTCCCATTTTACCCTTGTAGTTTCTAAAAATTCCATCTATGTCCCTTAATCAATTACAAGAATGTCCTCATTTTTATTAACTTCTCCATGTTATTCTACTTCTTTTTATTCCCCACTCTTTCATCTAATTATGAGTGGAATGACCATTTTACCCCAAGTAACATTTTAAAGAATTTCCTTCACACTTGTTCAAGATAACTTTCACAAAATTCAACTAAGGGTATTAGGGCATAAATAAAGCTACGTACTTTGATGTGGGTGTTACAATTCTCTCTCTCTCTCTCTCTCTCTCTCTCTCTCTCTCTCCCCCCCCCCCCCCCTCCCCCCCCCCCCCCCCCCCCCCCCCCCCCCCCCCAATAAGAATTTCGTCCCCGAAATCTTACCTTAGAATTTGGTTCACTTTTGGTAGAATTTCAATCCTAAGCATCCATAGGTAAGATTCTTGCACTAAGGTGTGAGATTAATTTTTAAAAGTGTTGTGAATTCTTATGGTTTATATGCTTAGGGTTTAAGAGAAGGAGAGTTGTATCAAGGGAAGACTAAAGTGTTTGTGTTGCGCACATCTAAGGTAAGTAAATCCAACCCTAGTTATGATTTGAGCAATAATTGTGTAGAGAGATTCTTATATGTATGTATGTGTTATTGAGAATTGTTGATGGAATTGATGATGAATGATGGTTAGAATTCAGCCATGAGAAGTAGTGTTTATGTATGTGGTGAATTGGTGGAAGTTTGGATGACTTATGAAAGAATTGGAGTAGAATTGTGGAGTGTGATTTCTTGGCTAGGT